ATATGTCTATCCTTTTTTTTTTTACATCATTTTTGAGTATTATAACTAATTCACAAGCTCCCTCTGCTGGGCTTCCAGCATAGGAGATTAATGGTAAAGCTCCTGTTACGTTATTTATAGACTGACCTATTTTTTCAGCTCATTTTTGACACTTTCTACAGCATCAGAAAAAGTATATAATCAAATTCATGTAAATAGCTTTTTAGAAGTGTGACAGAGAGAGGTTTGATGTGTTAGGTGTATATTAGAATTTTTTTTTATATACATGGAAGAAGGCTTTTTCCACAATACTGTAAGTGTAGCTGTTACCTCCTAAAAGTACTGATGCATCTATAAAAAGATCAAGATACTTGGCATTCAGTAATGCCTTCTGTTACTTACAGGAAAGAGCTCTAAGAAGATAAACACAGGACTTATAAAAGAATTAAAAGCTTACAGTCCTCAGAGATACTCCATACAGTATGCAGTTTAATGTAGCAGTGGTGTCCAGAAGGTAAATCATGAGGCAAGGGGCTGGTAGCAAGCTTTCAGAGGAATGTTGAAGTGCTGAAAATGTTACTGTAATCAGAAGGAAAGAAGAGCTAGTCCTGCCTCTTTCTGCCTAATCCTGAAGGTTTCTGTCTATAGTTTTTGAAACACGTGTGTAGGGCCTAGCATTGTCATAACTGATATATTATGAAATCTGTCTTAGTAGATTAAAAGCAGTTGTGAAATGATTTACTTCCAACTAAACAGTCTCAGGTTGAGAAGGACTGCTAACAACAAAAAAGGACAATGTTCTGTGATTGCTGTGGACGTGACGCTTCCTTGCTGACTTGTAACGGGGGTTTACTGAATAAAGTACCTGCCTTAAATAATCCACAAATTTGTGGAGTGCCTTAATGGGAGAAGGCATATTGTCTGCAGTGGCACAAGAGGAGAGTGGAGAGACTTTAGAAACAATCACAGTGGCTTTTTTTACTGTAAGCAGAGCTCCGAGGCACAGGCAGTAGTACAGATACTAAGTTTACAGTGCTGCTTAAGCATTGTGCTTAAAGTAAAAGGTCTGTGGGAATGCAACTGTCACCAGTGTGAGTGGGACAGTTACTTAGCAGCACACAGCATTGCTGGGCAATGATTTAAAACAGAAAATAAGGAACTCCACTAACCAATTGATACAGAAACTGGGAAATGTGGAATGCGTGTATTCCAAACTTTGGTCTAGCGAGGAGATTTAGATGAACAGTTCTAATGTGATAGGATAGGTTGTGATGTCTTTAAAAATAAGTAAAGAGTTAGCTGAAGCATTAAACCAACAGCAGTATATCTCTTAGTGTCAATAGTCTTTTGGCTAAGTAGTGACGTGATGAAGAATAATTTTACTCACTGTGTAGGCAGCTCATGTTAAATGACATTCAAGAAGTTTCTCAAAAAATGTAGCCATCTCAAAACATGAATTATTTTGGGGGGTGGCAAATTCTCATATAGGCTTTATTCTTCATCAAAGCATCTGACAGCTTTGCCAGAGAACATGACATCAATATGTAATTTATCCTTTCAAAGTCTTTGGGATGATCTGCCTATTTCTTTGCCATCCCTAATTAAACATACTGCTTCAGTAATTCCCAGAGGCAAGGAGGCATTGCAACTACACTGAAATGAAAATGAACTTTGTAGAGCCACCGCTACACCATCTGTGTTTATGATTGATGTATTCTATGATTGTTATTTTGGTCATAAGTTTTTAGCTATTTTATTAAAGATATTGGGAGGGAGCATACAGATACTAGCCACAGATTTTATTTCTTGGCAAGGTGAAAGAAATCTGGGGATGTTTTAACACCAATTTGATTGAAATAAAATATAGCAAGCTGATGGAGATTTTCAATGTGATCTATGATCATTCAGCCTCTGGAAAGCTACTAATAATGATGGTAAGTGAGGGTCTCTGTTCCAGTTAATGTTTCCTAGAATACGGATCAAATACAAATCCTTCGTATTTAAGCATTTTGGAAAACAGGCAGCAGCCCTGCAAGTCTCTGAATTGAGGCACTTGGGTAAGAGATATTTGGAGTCAGCACAAAAAATTTCTTACTTACCTATTAATTAGGACACATCTACCTACCTTAAGTGTACAGGTCAGTCCAAGTGGCCAGAGAGAAGGTTACTTTCAAGATATACAGGTTATTTTCTTTGGTATTTTCTTTCCATTTTCTTTGGTAATGTGGAAGTGGGTCACGATGGGTTGATTTATATCATCCATTGTAATCATGATTTTAAATAACCATTTTTCATCTGGCTTTGCATGTGGGATTTTTTTTGTATTCTGAAAAAGAGGTGATATTCATTAGCATATTTTATTATGCCAGCGAAAAGGGTATACTGTCTATACACTTAAGTAATCATAGTGCTTAAGTGTTTGATTTTTTACATTGATTTTAAATTTAAAAATGGTGAACATTGCATTTCTTGCTAGCTGATACTTCTCTATGCAGCATTGTGCAAGGCTGGATTTGAGTAGTTGTTTAAATCCACTTAAAATACACAATCATTATTTTAAAATAGTCATTAATTCAGTTTAAAAAATAAATGCACTGGACATGAAAATAAGCTTAGCAAAACATGGTTTGTATTGAAAGCCTGTTGATTTATTAAGTAAAGGAACCATTACATACAGAAAATGAACTGCTTATGATTTTTCTAATCAGCATGTCTTTGCCTTCTGGAATTACAACTAGGAGATCTTATCCTTCACATTTATTTTGAAAAGGTTACCTTAGTAATCCTTTCACAAAGTTTAGGATTTGGAGGACTAGATCCTAAACTGCAAAACAGTAAAATGAGAACTCTGGAGAGAATGCAGTGTGTCTCACTGTGTCTCTCATCTTGATTGCTTAGGATTAAACCGTTTCTTTAAGTTCAGTGAAGCTAAACTAATTCATTTTAAAATGACTAGAAATGAGTGAAGTCTCCAGATGTTAACAGCTTATTTACTTCTAGGGCAGTAACATTAAAGAACACTAATCAAGATCAGAAGTAGGTTGTTCTCCAGGTTGTACAAACATCACAGTCATTTGGAGCGGCTGTAATAAAATGCCTTGTTATCAGGGACCAAGGTAAGGCAGACAAACAAGATTTTTCAGCCATTAGTTTTCAGTCAAGATCTAAGTGACATTAATTATCTGTAGCATCTTCTATATGCCAAATGGGAAAATATGGTTTATAACAGATGTTGCCTCCATACTTAATGCTAGCAGTGTTTTTTAAACTTGAAGAAGTAATTGTAAATGCTATGATAATACAAACTATAGCAAAATCAAATGTGTTCAGAAACATTTTAAATACATTATTTTTATATTCCAGTTAGTTTTAAGATTACTATTTATCTTGTCAAGGCTTTTTCTACAGCTTTTTTCTGCCTCATTTTGGCACTGAATTATGTTCATGACATAGGTATGGATCAGTAATGTACAGGTGTAGCTGACACAGAGGAAATTGCGGACGATTGCAGTGAATTGCATATCATTAGAGCTGTAATTAAAACGTGTAAAACCAATTTCTCACTGAAAGCTTTAGGCTGGTAACTTGGAAAAGTTAATGTCTGGTGAAATACATGATTTGTCAATTTTATTTACTTTTGACACCACTAAGAGTAAGGCATTAGTAATTTCTTAGGACTGTATTAAAGGCAGTATTGACCTGTTCATGATGATAAAAGTCCCATAAAAATAGCCAGCTTCTCTTCAAAACCTGTCTTGCACTTCATTTTCTTGGCATTTTATTGAAGTAAGAAGGCCTGATTCTTTTACTAAGATGTTTCTGAAGCCACATATGTAGTACTGATTTTCAATAAAATTTAGTACCCTCTTCCTTGCTTCCTCTTTTTTACATTGTCTGAGAAAAATCTGTCTAGCAGTATGTCCCAATAAAGCCTGTAACATTTACTTCTTCTCTAGGTCTGTTTTCCTTTGTCTTCTCATAATGTCTCTTCCTCCAGTCTGGAGGCTGTTGTTCTGCAGCTTGCCTGATGCTTCTTGTCAGCTTCCATCAGACTGATGGATGTCGGAAGGAAAGGCAGGAGCTGTTATTGGGCCTTTTTTCTCCTCATCTGTGCACCTAAAGATTTGACATTCACTTTCTTGAGATGGGATGAAATCCTGGTTTTGAGAAATGTTATGTAAATTTATTGTTTTATGTAAGGAACTCTTTATGTACATTATGGCATGCTCATAAGACTAAAGGCAGTGCTTTGTCTTGTGCACCAGCAAAAAAGCAGAGTCCTGAAAAATATATAAAAAATAAAATTATTTTAATAGACTTGATGTTTGTTTTGGTGTTTCTGTTTAGGTGCTGACCCCAGCACAAATAAAATCAATTTGCCTGGCCATACTAGAATCGGGAAAGCAGTATGCAGTGAAGAAGAGGAAACCGTTCCCACTCATGTATTCCTACTATGGAACAGAGTATCTTGGTGAGTAAAACACACCAACTGCTTTGAAAGTGATGCTGTGCGTAGATTTTGAGCCAGTAGACACTTCAGAAATAAAATATATAAAACCTACACTGTGGGATTTCTCCTGAGTCAGTTGGGACCATCCAACCTCCTAAAACTGCTAAGTGGAACTGAGGAGCTGGAGGGAAGGACTGATGCTACCTGGCTCTGGGGAACCCAAGAGGTGCTGGTGCTGCACGGGGGAAGCAGCAGGCAGCAGCTTCATTCCCTCTTCTCCTTCCTGCCCTGGTAAACCTGCCCTTGCCAGATGGAGGCAGTGAGAGATGTGGTGCCCACGCCTGTGTGGAGAAGCTTACCAGAGAGAACTGTCAGGGGATGTTACTTGGGAGCTGCTGTTGCCATGCGGGGGCTTGCAGAGCCCTTTTGGCCATGGCGGTGCAACTCAAGCATATGGTCAGCTCCCACCCATTGCAAGCAGTTTACTTGTAGCTCACCTGAAGCAGTGGTGAAAGGTCATTGAGCAGATCCTTAGTGGGGTCCTCAAGGCACAATACCACACTGCAGGAATCATGAGATTGGTTTGCAGATGTTAGTGAGTTCTCTGACAGGGGAGCAGAGTGAGAAGTCACCAAGTGGTGCTGCTTCACAGACCCTGGCAGGTAAAGAGAATTCTTACACTGAAATTCAGGTTTTAGCTGACTAATACTGTCAATCAGTAACTGGGAATATAATTTATGGTCCAATTTCAATTTGGGTTCAACAAAAACTTCAGAATAATGGTCCAGGTTCAGTAATGTGTCAAGAAGAATAACATCTGGAAACAGTATTTGGTTTAGGTTCAGTTTAACTCCATGTGCGGAGTTGCAGTCGTGTCAGAGTGAGAACAGAAAAAAATCATTTTCCATAGCTAGGGGAACTGGAAATGACAGAAGTAGTAACAAATCATAGTGTCATGCACCTAGAAAGCTTTTATTCTGAGCAGTATTGTAATATGCAGAAAGAAGATGAAAGAGCCATGCAATGGACAAGGAAGTCAGTCCTGAGGGAAAGTTGCTGTGAGATGGAGGTAGGACCTAAACCTACTCTCAGCCTATTCTCTCTCTACGCTCAAATTAGCCTATTTCTGTTCTTTACAGGTGCAGCACATGGGCTTTCATCAATCCTTCAGATGTTGCTTTCCTATTATGAGTACCTGCAGCCAGCAGATCAGGAACTTGTGTGGCAGAGCGTTGATTTTCTTATGGACCAAGAACAGAACAGCAACTGGCCTCCTGAGCTGGGAGAGACAATTGAGCGGGAGAATGAGCTTGTACACTGGTGTCATGGAGCTCCAGGTTCTTTTCCTGTTGATGCTATGAATAGCCAGATGCTGATCACATTGCTTTTCCATGTTAGGTGATTCCATGTAGAAGATAATCTCAGGTTAAATTTGACTGATTTTGACATTTTATGAGATGCAGGCAAACTAGGTAGGCTTTTTCTTCCAGTTAAAAGAGTGTTTTATTTATTGCTGAAAGAGCTGGAAGGATAGACATATTTTCTGCCTTAAAAGCATAGGTGATCACAGCTGAAAGAATTCTAGTGAACTGTATGTTTTCTGCTCTTGCTTCCTTTTGTGACTATACCTCAAAGAATAGTACAGCTGAGTCAAAAGGCACCATATGGCTGGACAGAGAAATTGTATGCAAAAGAACACAGATACAGACACATTTGTGAGTTTGGGGAAGGCCCAAAATAGCTTTTTTATAGCTTTTTCCCCCTCTCATCAGAATAAAAGTTTAAGCTGCACTTATTACATGGATAATGCATAAATTTCATCAAAGTATTTTCGTGTGAAGGGGAGTTTGTATTAGCTAGAGGCAGTTTTTCTGTAAGTCACCCATATAGAACTGCTTTTCAGTGAAAAAGAGAATCAATCCTTAGTTTGGATTCATGACATGAGGATGATGTCTGTCAGTTCAGAATCTAATCCTATACTTTAGCAATTTTGGCAAGTAATGCTCTATATTGAAATTGCTTTTTTACCCCCAGGCAGAATTTTATTACTAACTAGTCATACTGGCTTGGTAACATGAAGGTTACAGAAAAATTTACCTGTATTAAAGAATGTCCATGAGCATTAATGCATTGCTTTTAAAGGTGTTCTATTTATATTACAAGTACATTATAATTAACATGCCTTAAGTGTCCTTGCTGCTGATGCATTTTCTTTTTGTTGGTATGATTAAGGAACAAGCTTCTTGCTCTCACACTAATGAAGTGAAGTGGAAACAGTTTTCACTTACCAACCTTTTTTATTTTCAAGAGGGAAAAAAAAACTTCTACAGCATGGCTGGCCTAGTGATGAAACCTACTGGGAAGATGCCCTCTTTGTTTCAGTATCTTGAGAGTGACCCTTGACTTGTGTTTAACTGTTAGTTGAGGCATGCGCAGTGACACTCCAACAAAGTGGCAAAATCCCAAAGGGCATAAAAGAAGTTACTTTAGAAGACATTTAGAGACATGTACATTCATTGATTGCTATTGTTCCTCCCCAGAAAATCCTGTTTCCTTTCACTGTTCGTAGGTAATAATGCACATCTAGTTTATAGGAACACTTTTCAGCTACTTCAGGGTATATTATATTCAGACCACAAGTGAGCTATTCTAAACATTTCCTTAGGTGCTTGATCCGGTTACATGTCATAGGCATTATTTTAAGGTTACCATGAACTGGGCTGTGCAGTCCTCTGTGGGAGATTATGATTAATTTATATGAATCCCCTCTGAAAAAAAAGCCAAATACCTTGCTTTTTTTTTTTTTAAACAGAAATTAGTATACATAACTGTTTATAACTAGAATAAAGCAGCATGGGCCCCACTGAAAAAACAAAACAAAACCAAGTTTCTTTTTCTCATTCAGTAAAAAAATATATCTGTTGACAGTGTAAGAAATTATCTTGCCCATCCTTATGTTTCTGTCAGTGTAAATAGGTGAGGTGAATGGGGATTTGAAACCAATAGAAAACTGCTCAGAGTTTACTGTTTTAAAGGCAAAAATGTGACTACTGTTTTAAATGGATAAAACTTCAATAATGCATTGAAAAAATTGCAAGTAGTGTTGTCACAGGGAGTGGGTAAGTACATCTTACTGTATGCTTTTTAGCATGCCAGATACTCTCCCCTCCATATGTGGCATATAGATATGTAACGTTGACATGTATAGAGCATGAGACTGCAGTTTTTTAGTGTATTAATCTTTATTTTCTTATGTGTTCTACAGAACCCTTGACCTATTTATTACAAAAGACAATCTCACTGCTATTTTCCTAGGCATTGCATATCTGTTTGCCAAAGCTTACCTGGTTTCCAAGAAGCCTCAATATCTGGACACTTGTATTCGCTGTGGAGAGCTAACTTGGCAGAAAGGCCTGTTGAAGAAGGGACCTGGAATATGCCATGGAGTGGCTGGTAGTGCTTATGTGTTCCTGCTGCTGTATAGGCTCACTGGAAACTCAAAATACATATACAGGGCACAAAGGTTAGCATTCCTACCTTATTGGATTTAGAGTAATAATGGAAAGTTTTAGGAATGTTCAAGTGTTCAGGGCCAGGCTGGATGAGGCTTTGAGCAACGTGGTCTAGTGGAAGGTGTCCCTTGCTGATGGCAGGGGGGTTGGAACTGGATGATCTTCAAGGTCCCTTCCAATCCAAACCATTCTATGATTTTATAAAGCTGCTCAGAGTCTGAGATCACCACCCTAGGATGTAACCTGAGTGTTTAAGCCTCAGGTGCAATTCTAGCTCTGAGTTGTGGGGCATCCCTCCCTCCCTGTCTGTGAGCCTGCACTTCTTTGGAGGGAACCAGGGTGGATGGGGAGGAACAATGTTCAAATTAAAATGTGATCATTACATTGATTTGTTGTGATTTTCAGAGCATTTAACACTTTCTCTTACTACTAAATATGGAAAATAAGTGTAGGACCTGCTTTGCTGTTATTTTACTGGTTTTTAATTTCTCATTCCCAGCTTTAGCCGGTTTGACATTGTGCTATTCAGCTTAGCTAGTGGGGTTAATTCCATTTTGCCCTGATGCAAGCAAGTATATGCTACTGAAAATTCTGTTACAGTGCTGCAATTATCTTTAATTTTATTTCTGTAATTTATTATATGTGTTTGAGAAGATAGTATTCAATGTTTGTTACTGTTTTCCTTACAGCATAGAATAATGAGGGGATGTGGTATAATAATTAGGGTGAGTTATTTTCAGCCGTTTGCTTTGGAGTGAGAACATTTTATTTGTTTATTTATTTGTTGCATCAATGCAAAATGTTGCTTGCATCCTCAGAAATAACAATCAAGGTAAAAGTTATTTAAAAATATTTATTTAATAATATGTCTTATAGAAATCAGAAAAAGTTTACAGCTCTCAAAGAAGCATAGCTCATGTAGAGTTCTCAAAGATTCAGCTTTTCTAGATCTCATGGACTTCAGTTTATTGTGGAAATCAGAGAGTGTAAAATTTCCACATAAGGTTAAATAATGAACAGTACCTTTTTTAATCATTGAATGTTATTAAAATGATGCTTTCAAACAAGTAAGTAGACATACAGGGACACCAAATAATAACAAACTCTTTTTTTTTCCCCTGTTTCTTAGGTTTGCAGAGTTCTTATTTACAGAAGAATTTAAGGCTGGTTCCCGGGCATTAGAAAGTGTATATAGTCTGTATGAAGGCTTCTCGGGAACTGTGTGTTTCCTGACTGACTTGCTGCAACCCAACCAAGCCGAGTTTCCTCTCTTCAGTGTCTTTGTCTAAAGAGTAACACTCTCCAGGGCTACATCCTGGTGGCAATGGGAGAGGGCATGGCGGTTTCACTTATTTGTCAAGAGAGGCTATTTACAAAAAACAAGGCAGTGGTACCACTAATGCTAGCCTTAACTTAACTGGGAGTCAGGTGAAAAAGAAAATACACTGGGGCTTTGGGAGGGGAGTGTGTGGTCAAAAAAATGGGTCAGGGGGAAAAAAAAGTGGGGGAAGTGATTGAATCTGATGGGGTGTAGATATCTAGCTGTAATAAGAAGCAAAATCTAATTATTCAAGTGAGAGAGAAAGGGGCATTATCAAACTTTTAATTTGGTGGTTACACAGGAGAAAAAAAAAAAAAAGGCAAGCTAGAATTGCAGGGACTTGCAAAGAAGAAAGTGATGCATCCAGTAGGTTTTATAAAGAGACCTGCAAACACAAGTCTTCATGCAGTGATGCACTTACCAGGGAGGGTGTCGTAGACATGTCACTACACTGCACAAAGGCAAAATCTGGGTTTTTTTTTACCTAAATCACATCTACTAGTTCTAGTAACATGTATTAGAAATACCTGTATCTTGGACCTCTTTCATCTTCATGTGCACATAATGATGGTTATGTAGATAGCTTTATATTCAGCCTGCAGTTTCACGTGTTCACTTCAGCTAGTGGGGTTTCATGAGTGTGAGTGAGAACTGAATCAGACCTTTCCTTTCAGAGCTCAGTCTGTGACGAGGAGCTGGTCTCCTTACTGATTTACTGTAACCGTGTCACTTCCTGTCAATACTTTCCCTGTCACGGGGAAGATGAGTGGAGCCATGGAGAAGACTTGGATCAAAAAGTTTTGTAGCAAAGATACAGCAGGCAGATGCTTTCTTCGCAGTACAGCATTACTAGATAAGTATTGTTAGGTGATACAAAAGCTTCCTTTAAAAATTAATTACCTATAGCAGCATTTCTGAACAATAACATACATATTTCAGAGAGTGGAAAATCTATTCTCCTTGATGAATTGTTCACTACAAACCCTGCAAACTGAACACAAACCTTGGATGGCATACTGATCTTAAGAAAAACCTGATAACAAAACTCAAAAATGCTTCTTTTCCTGGTTAACAAAATAATGTATATGCCCAAATTATTTGTAGCTATAGAAATAAATGGGTTGCTCAGCACTAGTTGCACTAGCACTTAAGGTTGCAAATATATGCTGTTTTGTATGTATTATATATATGACATGGTACTTGAAAACTAAAGAAAATGCTAACATAGATTTGTACTAAAAGCCTATAAAATCAATATCTGTATTTAAAATATATTTACTATTTATTTATTTTTATTTATATAGGAACAATTATATTGGGAAGACCAGTATGTCAAAAATTGCAGTTCAGGTGAAAAAGCTGACCTACATGCACTGCCAAACAATGCAGTCTCTCTTCCTGCATTTTTAGCTGGAGGAGATTACAATTTCTTTATTTTTAATGCCTAATGGATTGAAGTTCCCATTTAGTTTCAGTGGGCCTTGATCAGGCTATAAGTTGGAGCCAGGTCTTGCAATCCTTCCACATTTTAATATAGTAATCACATTCCTACTCTTGCCACTGTTATTTTAATGAGATGGCTTGTATTATTATGAGCTGCAGATTAGGATTTCTGCTGTTTTATCTTGCACTGTGCAGCTCTAATTAATTACTTAATCATAGAAGTAACCATATTTCATTGGTGAATAAAGCAATGCAGTTCTGTATCAGTTTGTCAAGAATTTACGGTTTTTTTAAAAAGAATGGAAATGTTAAAATTCAATATACAGTTGTTATGTGTTTAGTATTTGTGGGATAAAAGGTCTTTTAAGAAAGCCATTAATATAACTTACTTTGTGACTCTGAGAAGTGAGATGTGGGCACACAGGAGTATGTATTTCACAGGGAGGTATACATGTGAGGCTAAATGGAAGAAGTCTGACCACACTCACAGGAAAAAGTTCTTCACTGTGAGGGTGGTCAGACACAGGAACAGGTTGCCCAGAGAAGCTGTGGATGCCCCCTCCCTGGAAGTGTTTAAGGCCAGGCTGGATGAGGCTTTGAGCAACCTGGTCTAGTGGAAGGTGTCCCTGCTGATGGCAGGGTGGTTGGAACTAGATGATCTTTAATGTCCCTTCCAACCCAAACCATTCTATGATTCTGTGATTAAATCAAAAAGTCACTGGAGATGTGCGCATGCTCTGCCCAGCCAGGTTGAAATGCTCCTCTTAGATCAGAGCAAAGTCAGCTGTCAGTACTGAAGATTCTAAGTCTATGAGGATACTTCTCTAATTGCTTCCTGTAATGCAGGTGTCTAATACATTTCATAACTGGGACCATTTAAACAAATATTTAAGGAAGGTAAAACTTGGGTTATCTGCTTTTTCCCTGTGGTCCATAGCTTTTCAGTCTCAATTTTAATTATAGGGTAATGTCACTCAGCTAAAACATGCAAGTAACAGCTTTTGTGCCATAGCATTTAGAGAGCTACTGTAACTGTATTCTGCCTTACTGTAAGACAGAGAAATAGGTTCTGCCATGATCTAGACTCCAGCCGTTTAAATCCTACATTTATTGACATTCCTTTTATTTAGAGATGCAAACATAAACCAAAAACACCTAGTGTTTTGATAACTACACCACCAAAAAACCCAGACTACTCCAAACTTAAGCCTTAACAGAATCTACACATATCAGAATAGTAATCATGACCTTTTGATTTTGTCCCAAGTGCGTACTTTTTAATTATCAGTGGGCCACAACGTTTAATTGTTTCCAGTTAGTTATTTCTCAGGAGATGCTTGAAGAAGAAAATCTCTGCCAAAGCCTCAATAAATCTAGAGCACAATAAATCAGTACAGTAACTTAGATCCTGACCAAGTCATGAATGCTGATATTGTAACATATACACATATGTTAAAAATTACCATAATAGCAATAGATAAAGTTGCTCCATTTTATTATGCTTAACTTCCAACGGTCATGTTTGCATTTATCATTTAATGTAATGCTTCATAAGTGGCAGGAAATACACATCAAGAACTCGGTGTCAGTTTTCTAGTGGTTTCCCTCTGTGTCTCTTTGTAGAATTAATTCCTTCTGGTTTACATTCAGAGGAGACTGATCTGCTCTGTGGGGTGTTCAGCAGCACCTGCAAAACAAATCTGTCTCTGCAACCATTCTCCCTATATGAAGCCACGTGTTTGGCTTCATTTGATACTAATCCTGTGAGAAAGAGAATAGTTACTCGAGTAAGATCGAGTCCATTCAACAATGAGAAAACCTATGGAACCACCCAGGTTTCAAAATCTAGGTCCCAAACATCTCTTTGCAAGTTATGCAAGTTCAGCACTGAGAGGGGCAAGGGCAGCATGCAGATTCTGTTTACTGACACTTGAGATCAGTAACAGTAGCATAAACATCCACTCTTGAGGGATACATCTTGTAAAATCTTGAACATTCATCTCTCTCATCGGACATGGCAGCTTGAGCTTATTCTTAGAGCTTTGTGGCTTTTCTTACCTGACCTAGCTGGGTTAAGGTGGCTACTAGATGTGCTGTAGCCACAGCTTCTGAACACACTGTAAATATACCCCAGGGCTCTTCTGAAAATGTCAGTCATTAAATGAGCAGGGTTTTTTCATCTTTTTCCTCTTAATTGTCTGTCATGGTGGTTTTTTCCTTTGTACTCTATATGCTGTTACATACATGCTGTTGCAACCTTTTATTTGTTGCTTTTAAGACATTGACAGGAAAGCAACCTGAGCAGAGCAGTCAGCACTTTTCAGTGTAATAAAAAAATAAGGTCCTTGTGTTCCCTCCTTACTGCTTCGAGAAATCGATCCTGAAACCTTTGCTAGACATTCTCAGCGGGATGCTGTCTCCTCCTGCTCCTGAATCAGGTCCTAATAGCCTGAAAAAGAGTATTCCTCAACAGATTCTGCCACGGTGCTGTGACAAAAGACTGTGTTACCAGAAACTTGAGAAGCCTCTTTCAAAGTGTAAAACACAAGTTGCTACGTCACGTTTGCACATTAGTTTCTTGATTGTGTTTAGTTTCCAAAGTGTAGGCAATAGGAATTCAAGTGATAAAACAGTGTTTCTGATTATGCTTTTAAAGCAAAGAGGATGCGTTGTGTGGGTATTGGTGCTTATTTGTGATGTACCTGTGTACCTAATTTGTGTGGTGCTGTTTGTGGGTAGATTACACATCAGTTTAAGGAGCTATATACTATTTATGACTTTCGGTAGGTCATCCGTAGATTACTGTCAGGGAATATCTCTGAGGGAAACTAGATCTGTAATGTCCAGATTTAGTGATCCCAGGATTCATAGAGCCAGACACAATACTTTTCATCAACAGTACAGTTCTAACAAATATATCTTAATTTTTTTCTGCTACTCACAACTTCTCAGCATGATAACGTGTTCGTTTTGTGCCGCTGCTTTCAATATCTGCTTTGCTTGCGTCGTCGTTTCCTTCAGTTTCCCTGCCCGTTCTTTCACAACCTGTGAATAACTTCAGAAGACTGAAGCAGCAGCAGCACGGGTCTTTTGTTCTTGAAAATGGGATTGATTAATTTTGCTTAAGAGGGGTGTTCCACTTATTTGCATTACATTATTTTACACTCCCAAGTGGTTTCTTCTCACTGGCTTTGCCGTTTCCCACCTGATAAGGAAAAACCATTATACTGTATAACAACTGTCACTGATGTTTTACATCATTAAATAAAACAAAGAGAGACTTTCTAGGGAGCATGTTCACTTGTCTAGCATCTCAACTCTGTTAAGACAATCAAAAACAAGTTAAATGGCTGAATGTCCCAAAAGACACATTTAAACAGTTCTGGGAAATATGCATAAATGAATGCAAGTAAAGTGGTCACCCTTTTTGCTACTTTGTAAAATGAAGTAATGCCACTTTGTTGTTCGAATATTAACCATATGGACATGTAGAGAATATGATAAGAATACTGATTAGTTTTATACTGTGGAAAAAAACCCGAAATGTA